CTACCCTTAATTGAAGAAGTTATTTATCTTAATAATAATAAAAAAAAAAAACGACAAGCTCATTTCCCTGGGGAGCAATAGAATGGTATCATGGTGATATACTTCAATGTAGAAGACCTTGGCTCTGAAATATTTTTATAAAAGGCTTGATAGACAGCTGTTTTAGAATGATTAACCTTTATATGGAAAAATTACTCCATACACTTAAGAGATTATGAAATAAAACTATCTTAAATAATAGCATGCATTCATCTCTGGCTACTACAGAAATGAGAGCAGTCTAAAATAGATTTTTTGCATTCCAGATATGCTGTTATCCTTAATTCTCTTCTAGGTTCAGGACCCAGGTTTTACTTTGAACAATTTCAATTCTTAGCAATGATAGACTGCAAATCTCACCCTTAAAGTACTGGGATACTTACAGAGCAAATCGATCGTTTGGATCAAAATATACACCCTAAAAGATAGACCTAAAGAATTTATGCCACAATGTTCACACATACAAAGAACAGAGAACACAAATACAGAAAACATCAAGGAAAAGTTACCTATAAGCACTGTGTTTGAAGTTCATAGATGAACAGATATGCTGAGCTATTCCTACTTCAGAGTTAGGTGGCTTTTGCCTCTGAGAAGGCAGCCTCATAGGAGAGTCATGGCTGCTTCTATGCAGAACCAGAAGGAGTACATTTCAACTCCCCCTGGCTGCAGTCTATCTCAGGGCTATGACATCATCACTGTGAATTTTATTTCATAAAGTTTATGTATATTATATATATATATATATGGAACTTTTTTTTCCATGTATGTGTATAGTACAGACAGAGGGCAAAAGTGAGCATAAGATTCATTGAGAATGAAGTTAAGGAGCTGTTTAGCTAGGAGCCTCTTACTGAATTGGAACCTATGTCTTCTATAACACCACCCACTGCTCTTCACTGCTATGGTATCTTTCTAGGCACTTTTCATTTAAAATTTATTTTTGTACATGTTATTAAAAATACACTACATCATTTCCTCCTTTACATGTCCTTTTTCCATCCCTTACCATATACTTCGATTTTTTCCTACTAAGTATGTAAATTTGTATAATTATATAAAAAATACCTGCTGAGTACATTTCTGTTGGATGTATTTATTGTTATATGTTAATTAAAATACATTACATCAATTTCCCCTTTCCATGTCCTTTCTTCACCCCTTCCCAAATTTATCCATTCCAATTTTTCCTTAGAAGTATGCGAGCAATTCTGTACAAATATATGAATTAAACCTGAATCCATTTCTGTTGGATCTGTGTATATGGTTTCAGCGCTGAAGACTTTCCATTGGATAGGTAATGAGGGAGCTCATACCTGCCTGAGGCTAATTTCCCCACTTGCAGGAGAGTTCCATTCATTAATGACTAACAGGAGTCTGACTCTGAAGTGACCTAAGCTGCCTTGAAAAAGAAACATTAGAAAAGACAAAGTGGTAAATACCTCAGAATTGCTAGTGCCATGGCTCTGAATTTCTGTAGCTGCAGGGAAGACACCAGAGACAAAGTGTCTGAGCCTGTGGCCAGGTTGCATTTACCATAAGATGTATAATGTGCTTTGCAATTCTTAGATAACCCTGTGATTTGTGTGATTAAAGCAGCATTCAAAACTCATTCTGGGGTTGCTTTTATTAATACCTTGCCACACTTTGTGTCGTCTCGGCTAATGTCCTCCAGCATAATCAAGTGCTCGTGACAGATATGCCAGCCAAGAGAACCATATTAAGCTTTGGAAGGACCAAGGGATTTCCGGGAGAAAATTGGCAACTAGTGTTTGATTTGTATTGGATTCCATGGACTAAAGAACACAAAGGCCTTACTACATTGCTTATATTCATAGACTTTCTCTCCAGTATGAAACTTTTATGACAATGAAGACTACAGATAAGTGCAAAAGTCTCACATTTGGATACATCCAGTAAAAAATTCTTTTATGATCATGAAAATTATACAAATCTGGAATAGCTTCACCATGCTAAATACACTCATAGTCTTTCTGTTAAGTATAAATTATTTCATGACTTAAGATGATTCTGTAGAGCAAAAGTTTTACCACATTGGTTACATTCACAAGGTTTCTCTCCAGTATGATTTCTTTATGTCTTAGGAGATGACTATTTCGTGCACAGTTTCCCACATTGGTTGCATTCATCAATTTTCTCTCCAGTGTGTATTCTTTTATGTATTTGGATATTATTATGGCAATGCAAAAGCTATGCCACATTGGTTACATTCATACTTTCACTCCAATAAATGTTCTTGTTCTAGGAGATGACTGTTACATGAAAAGCCTTTATGAAATTGGTTATATTCATAAGGCTTTTCTGCAGTATGCAGATGACTATGTTATATAAAAATGATAACACGCTGATTACATTCATAAGGTTTTTCTCCAGAGTATGTGCTTTTATGGTTTCAGAGCATACTCTTGAGAGGCAGACTTTAATACATTCAGTGCATTCATAAGGTTTCTCTCCAGAGAGTTCTTTTATGTCTTAGAAGATGACTGTTACATCTAAAGGCTTTACCACGTTGGTTACATTCTTATGGTTTCTCTCCAATGTGAGTCGTTTGATGTCTTAGGAAATTACCATTCCGTGCAAAGGCTTTACCACATTGTTTACATTCATAAGGTTTCTCTCCAGTGTGAGTTCTTTTATGTGTTA